AATAATCATTATTATTGTTATATAGTGAGAACCAGCGCCACTGTAAACAATCTCGCCAGATCTCGCGGGGTCTCGCGAGGTTTGTCCGCAGCGGTAGGAGATGGATAGCATCGTGAGTAAATGGATCGTGAGCTTCTGTTAAATCCGCAGGAAACCGTCGTTCCGCTCGATTCACGTCCGCCGCCGCTCGTTCCCCGGTGGATCCAGCGGGAGGGGACACGGTGGTCCTAACGCACCGTCTCTTGCGCAGGGAGAATCGGTCCGTGTGTGCCCCGCTCGTCGGTAACTGGCCGCTGCTCGGAAGCTAGGCGGCTAACACCCGTCGGTGGGTGAAACCAGGAAGGAGTTAGCGGACGAGCAGCGCAGGGAGCCCGGCCTCAGGTCACTGCCCTCCCGCAGACACGTTTAAAAAAAAAACCCTCCGACCTCATCCAGGCCGCCGGACCCCGGGAGAAAGGTAACTGCTGCTCGGCCTCATTTTGTGGATCGGTTGGTGAAATGTGGAGTGACGTTGAATAACGTGATCGATCAGGTTCGATCAGGTTCGATCGACTTGATTGCTGCCTCTGATCTGTTGGTGACGTCAGAACTGAAGTTATTATCGCTAAAGGACTCAAACCTGTTTATTTATCAACCTTCGTCCAAACACTTTGTTTACCTGCAGCACCTGTTCTCTGAACCTGCGGATCTGAGGACCTGAACATTGAACCCAGTGTGGCCCGCGTCTGTGAACCGTTTCCCCGATTTGTGACTTGAGTTTGACCATTAATCGATTAGTCGATCAGCAGAAAATTGACCTTTGACTTGAGTTCGATCGTCACTTGATTCGTTTATCAGCAGAAATGTTTACCTGTGACTGAGTTTGACGATTCATTGATCAGCCTGTTGCTTTTAAATGAACTTGTCGTCACTTGAGTTTGATGATTTGTGGATAATCAGAAAACATCTTGTCTTCTGGTTTGATGAGTCGATTAGACGAGCATCAGAAAACTGACCGGACCCGAGTTTGACCATCAGAAATGAAAACCTCTCACGTTGACGACTTGAAAACATTTGACTAATCTGAGGCAGTCTGTAGTTCTGTTCTCTGCAGTAAACATGTAACCTCATATTGCCTGTGAGCACATAGTTCTAAATGGTGATGATTAACGAAATCAGCCAAATAAACAACAAAAAAAACTCGAATGAACGTTGGACCCAGTGTTATTTACCATTCGGACCACCGTTTTTTAACCAATATTGAATTTGGGATTAGATAAAAAGCAATACTTTGATATCTGTTCTATTTTTTTAATCAGCTTTAAGTGTTTTCTGCCTTTGCTGGGGGACTTCTCTTATTTTAAAGTTATTTCCTGCCATGTTTACACCGTGTTTGTCTTTGTTTGGACAGTCCAAACACATTTGCATTGATCATCGGCACACAAAACCAGCAGAGCTCACATTTCAACCTCAACCAGTTCTGCATCAGTCACTTCACTGCATGTCTAGGATTGTTATAGATTATCACTGACCTTTCCCTCCTTTACCGCGAGCGCCCCCCCCCCTCGCCAATTTCTCGTGGAAACCTGTACCAGGATTCTTACTTAAACCTGCTGCTAAACTAACCTGCCAACCATCAAGCACAAACGGACAGGGGCCAAATGCAAACCTCCTTGGTTGAGATAATAAACAGGGAGGCTTCAGGTTTTTCTTATCTTTATTGTCAGTCTTGAAAATGTCAGGGTCAAGGAAGCAGCAATAAGAAGCTTTTGTCCCCTAGATTGGCTTCAGTGGTCTTCATTAGATTTGGACGGGCAGGGTGTTTAGCACGTCAACTGTTTTCTCCTCATACGTGAAATAGTTTCAGGGATTCGACACCATGCAGTAAAAACCCCTGTGATGCAGTTGAATGGCTCCTCTCGGTGAATAATGCAATTACTTCAGACTCGTAACTCAACAGTAGATGAGCTGACATCACTAGCAGCAGTTGCACTTCGTGACCTCCTGGTTTACATCCTAGTTGCAGTAAAATCATTCTTGTTGACATACTGCACCAAACCAACTGCTCCAGGGCTGCTGCTTTGTTACTGAGTTGTGGTCAATGCATCTCTGCAAACAGAAGAATAGACAAGATAGACAACTGAATATATTTTGGTAAAGTTGTAAAAATGCCAGAGTAAATAAACTAACTAATCACACCTTATTCTCTTGTACAGGAAAAGTTAAAACACAGTTGGATTCTTTATTAAACCCCTTGGGTAAATTCCAGTATCCAGTAGCTCACCCATAAATCAACAGTTCACTAACGAGATTCAGGGTTCAGTATCTTGCCCGCATTGCAGATGGGGAAGACTGGGATCGAACCACCGACCACCCTCTCTCTACCCCCCAGTCACGGCCGCCCCGTGTAGCTCTAACAACACTTTTTCAGATCGTATAGAAAAGATGATTCAGTGAACAATGACTCCACGCTCTTCAGTCTGAACTTCTTGTCTGCACTGAATCTCTCCTGTTTCCTGTCTCACGTTGCTGCCGTTTCATGTGCACACGTTTGACGCGCTGTTCCAACCGCAGGTTTGAAGCTGAGCTGTGTGTTATCACCGCACTGGTTTTGATTTATCTTTCTGTGACGGTTGAAGGTCGTGTGTGGCTTTAGGGGCTGTCGATGGGAGACTTGAAAGCACTGAGGTGCAGAGCTCTTGATGACGGATGAGGAGGTGTCACGTACGCGGTCCAGTCCTGAACTGTCAGCTGGTCTGGAAACGTGTGGCTGTCCATTCCTGATTTATGTGAAGGATTTGTTTGAAATGCATTTGAAGTAACTAATTTCTTTTCTTTTATGTCTTAAAGGACAAGAATATTTAAATTGGCCTGAGTGCAAAGATGTCGAAGGCTCCAGACTCTCATGCTCAGTCCCGCTCCAGATCGAGGTCCAAATCCAGATCCTACTCCAGATCTCGCTCTAGAAGCCGCTCCCGCTCAAGATCCAGAAAACGTCGCTACAGGTAAATCTCCCAATTTCAGTTTGGTGCCATCATGAATTCTTCTTTTTATTTATGTTATGAATTGGTTCAGCAGGTCCTGACAGATCTTTAATTATGATTAATAATTGATTAAGTTTGTGATTATAGAGCAGCTCAGACCCATTCTAGCAACCTCTCAACACTCAGAATTTTTCTTTCTGTCTTCCCTTCTCTCTCTCTCCTGTTCAGCTCCAGGTCTCGTTCCCGCTCTCGTTCACACACTCCCTCCTACAGAAACTATCCTAGCAGGGACTATCAGAACAACAGAGGCGGGTTCAGAGGCTACAACCGCGGTTACAGGAGGCCGTTCCACTACAGAGGCAGAAACCGCGGCTATTATAATCGTGGTCACTACCAGAACAGAGGAGGCGGTGGCTACAACTATAAATCCAACTGGCAGGGAGGTGGTGGTGGAGGCTGGCACGATCGCCACCATGACCAGGACCACCACTCGCACAGTCCAAGGAGGGGGCGCTCACGCTCCCGCACACCGAAGAAGCGCTCTGGCAGCCGGAGCCGCTCACACTACTCCGACCGCTCTTCGTCGGGCAGATCTCGGCGCTCCAGACGCTCCAGCGACTCCTCTCGATCTAGGTCCTCCACCCCACGCCATCACAGCAGCAAGGGCAAGCGTGGCTCCAAGGAAGCCAAAGACAAGCTCGCAGAAAGTCCACCGGAGAAATCAGGCCATGCAGCAGATGGCAGCGCCATTGAGAAGGCATCCGGGGGGAAATGGATCGACTACGACACCAGCCCCAAACGTGCCAGTCTTAAGAAAGAGGATGCTCTCTGTGGCTCTGAGTCAAAGGGACCCAGCAGCAGTGGTCCTCTGTGGAAAACCATCGGCAGCGTGTCCCCTCCAGCCAAGAGCCCCACAAAGTCGGAACAAACCGCCTCCTTCGGCGGCTTCGGGTTCTTCTCAAGTGAAGATGCCAAAGCTGGAGATAAGACTGTGATCTCTGCTGCCTTCAAAAAGTACGTCTATTATTTGTTTCTTTACAATCTAATCACATTAATTTATTTTTAATCTTTCTAACAAACTATGAACGTTATTTTTCTTTCAAACTCGTTCAGCCTTTGTCAAAGATCCTCTGAAGATTACAGGTTAAAATGGAATGAAACGTACGACTCCTGATTTTAAGTCCATTGAAAATGTAGCCGGCTAATTTCTGTGCTGTCAGAGGAAGTTATATGAAATCCCACATTCTTAGGATGATGACGGTTAACGTGAGTATAATTATTGCAATGTGAGTCCTGGTCTGTACTCTTTACATCAGGCATGAGCATTTTTCATACATGATATGATAACATTTGTACGTTTCAGTTTTACTTTCTACATCATTAGGAGGGTGTGGCAAGAAGTTTTATTTATGCTGATGATAACTAACCAATATTTCTTAATTGACATTTTGGGGAATACATTTATGGGCTTTGTTGTTGAGGGTTGGGTTTGGTCAGGTCACATGAGAACAGTGAATAGTTTTCGTAGCATAAACACAGGACACAGGGAAACTGAAACCCTGGCTCTGTCCAAAGGTAACAAATCCCCCCTACCACAAGGAGGCGCTATCTTTTTATTTTTATTTTTAAACAGATGCAGCTCAGCCAGTGATGCAGTGACTCTTGGTTTAATGACTGAAGATGAAGTGTTGACTGGTGTGAGGCCAATTTTCTTGAGCTAAACACCAAGAAAATAATGAGTCAATCCACTGATGTCATCAGCGGTGACTGTATTGATTAGTTAACTTCATTATTTTAAAGATCTTTATCTTTTTGGTGTTTTTTGTTTCAAGCTTCATGCACATGGTGAAAAATGACAGGAATGATCACACAACCCTCCTCAGGCAGCACCTGTGGTATTTTGGAGCAATGAAAGATTAAATCAACAGAAATTATAATCCAGTAAATAACACAGTAAAGATTATGAATAGAATATGTGGTACTTGTATTGAGTCTGTCCCTCTGTTGTCATTGTTATACAAGTTGTAGCACAGGCCGTGTTGGTATTAAACATGAAGTATCTTCTCTCTTTCAGGTTCTTAGCTGAGAATAAAAACAAACAGGCGGTTGAAAAGGAGAACGGTCGTGAAAAGGAGCAGAGCACCTCAGACAGAGAGCTCGAGAAAGGCGGCAAGCCTGGAGACCTTTTCAGCATCGCCTCCTCTTTCGCCAAGGAAGACAAGACACATCCCTTCTTCGATGCTGGAGAAGAGGAGTTCCTGAAGTCTCACGGCCTGAAGGACCAGGACATTGATGAGGACGGCGAGATCAAACCAACCCTGACAGCTCGCGACATTTTCGGGAAGTGGGGGGACGAGCCAAGCTACACAACTTCCTACCCGTCCGCCAAGGACAAAACCCGGAGAGATGACGAAGAGGCCGAGTCCATCGATCACATGGAGGAGGACTTGTACCGGAGCCGCAAGCACAGCTCAAAGAAGGAGGAGAAGTCCAAGAAGAAGGAGAGGAAGGAAAAGCCCCGGAGGAGTCCGTCCCCTGCCACATCAACGTCTAGAGAGAAAGAGCGCCCCCTGTTTCCTGGAGCGTTCCCTCCTCGTGAGGACTCTCCTGTACGCCTGTCATCGTCAAGGGAGGAGTTTGAGCTCAAATTTGGTTCTTTAGATGAGCTGCCCAGGTACGTGCTGTAATTCACTCAGTCACCATAGAACATGTGAAATGGTGTGATTGAAATGTCGAGGGGGAAATGTCATGATTGGCAGAATTCAAATCTGGGATATATTATCTTCACTCCTGGAAAGTGGGAGGAAGAGAATCTGTAATCTCAAATCCAAGCATCCAGTTTGAACAGAATAGTGTCATGTATGTAAAGAACATCGGTCTCCTCCCATTCATGTATGTTATACTAGACCGAAGAACTAATCAGGTGCTAACGCTGCTCTCTTATCTAATGAAACCTCCTCGTCCTGCATGTGGGTCAATACTGTCGATATATTTCACATTAAACCTCGATCATATTTCTCTCAACAGTGTTCCTCACTCATTCTATTCTCTCAGCTCCTCCGCATCTAAAGATCGCCTCGTGCCCCGGGATCTGCTGAATGTCTCTAAGAAAGATCCGGAGTTTCGTTCCACTTTCCAGCACATTCAGGCAGCGCAGCTCCGCCGTAGCCCCTCTGAGCTGTTTGCTCAGCACATAGTCTCAATCGTGCACTATATCAAAGGTACAGTATATGTGCTGGTTTGGTCCACACTCAAAAAGACCAGACAGCAGGTGTGTTCGTGTTAGTTTCACTTGTTGCTCCTGTGTGAAGAACAGATTTTTTTTTTTCTGTTGTGAATTTGCAGCTCAACACTTCCACTCGTCAGACATGACTTTAAGTGAGCGGTTTGCCATGTACCAAAGAAAAGCTGCAGAGGTAGAAATGATGAAGCCAAGGAAGAGCCCAGAAATCCACAGGTAACAACAACAACAACAACGTTCAACAGATTTATTCGACAGAACATTTCCACTGCGCAATTTGTTGTATGTGATTATTTCTGAGTGACATGACGACGTTTCCTCGTCCCCTCAGGAGAATCGATGTTTCCCCCAGTGCCTTTAAGAGGCACTCTCACCTGTTTGAGGATATGGAGGAGACGAGCTACAAGGTGACGCGCCCTTTTGAAATTTGACGTATTTGGAACAAGCAAAATTGAGACGATCCAAAGCAGCAGTGTTCAGCTTTGTGCTTTTCTTTCAAAGGATGCATATTTCTAAATCAAAAGAGCCCAATTGTGTTTTGTAAGTGCCAAGCAAGCCCCCCCAGCCTATGAGATATGGTTATTGATTGGGTATATACGAACCCAAGAAAAGGCTAAAAGGAAGTGAATTAACAACCTGAGTCCAAGCCTCTCAAGGGACGATTATCTGTGCCTTTGCCTTGTAAGTATTTTTCCTAAAAAGAAAAACATCAAGCCACAAAACTACTGTGAATTAAACTTTATTTTGAATGTGCTACGTGCATGCAGCTGGTTACCACAAATACTCATTTAAAAGTAATGTTATTTAATTGCCAGTATTCACATTTAATTTTCACCACTAGAGAGAACACTACTTATAAATATGTTGTACATCTTCATTTGTGCTACAGTCTCTATGTTTGTCAAGTTTACTTTATAATGTGAATCTGAGAAAATGTACGTTTGATTTGCTTCATACATAATTTGCCTTTTTCAAACGTCCGGTTCAGTGGCAAATAAACAAATATCTTCCAGCAGGATCCAAGTAAAAAGTTCAAAGGTGATGTGATGGACCTTCGGCTGGATATTGAAAGACGCAAGAGGTTTGCAGGGAAAGACTTCAAGCGAGAGGGCGCCAGGAGCCCGGGAGACTCCCGAGGGCCGAGCAGAGAGAAGTCCTCGGAGAAATCTGGGAAACACCACAAAAAATCCAAGTATGTTCCATCACCGGTGTCGGTTTCTTATTATTATAAGCAGAATATTTGGAGTAGTTGAAACTGTTTATGACTGTCGCTCACGTTTTCCTCACAGGAAGGGAAAGAAGAAGCGTGATCGCTCCCCGTCCTCCTCTTCCTCCTCGTCCTCCCCATCCCCTTACCCTCCGCATTTCAGAGGTAAAGCGTTCATGGGCGAGGGGATGGAGCAATCGGAGGAGGGCTACGGTCACCCGCGTTATCCTCCGCGGGACTGCGGGGGACCTGGGGACAGAGGCCCTCGAGATTACGAGGGCCACGCCCCAGAGAGAGGCCGGGGTCGTGGATTTGTAAGTTTCCCGTCTGTGATTTGTTCATTTCTCCGGCTGTGTGTTTTCTCTCTATCTTGTAATTATGTGTCCTAACCTCATCACTGTAGCCGGCGCTTATCTGCTCTGTTCCTTCCCCCGAATGCTAAGGAACATAATGTGGATGATGATGATGACGCTCTATCTTACATATTCCATGCATTACCTGATTTTAATCAAGGTAACGTAGCGCGAATCAGTGGAACTTCACCCCATCACTAAACCAGTGCCTGACTTCCACCAGTGTGGCCTGTGTCTCTGTCGCTCTCATCCTCTCTGGTTCTTCTGGGTTTTTTAAAACCGTTTTATCAGAAATATTCATTTTGCTGTAGAATATGAGTTTGTCTCTTGTCTGCAAACTCAAAAACGCACCGGTTGTTTTGATTCCAGTTCCCCAGAGTCAGAGGACGAGGTTGGAACAGAGGAAATTATCCAGGAAACAACGGAAATGGAAATCCTGCTAATATGAATCCTCCAGTGCGCCCCCCGGAGGAGGAGTGGGACCCTGAATACACACCCAAGAGCAGGAAGTATTACCTGGTGAGCACGTGCAGAAAACAACACTCGAGAAGACGCCACCTTCAGGTTTAGAAAATAACGACTGCTTTTCTCTCTTTTCAATGAACCGATGAATGAGACTAAAGATAATCGTTACATGAGAATCTTACATGTTGATTTAATAATCAATGACTTCATGATTTAAAAAAAAAAATTTCCTGCCAGCTCTTGACCGTCTCCTTGTGCTGTTAACGCCGCCTCGTTTTCCTTCCAGCACGACGATCGCGATGGAGAGAAAACCTGGATTGACAACCGCGGAAGAGGCCGGGGCTCCTTCCCGGCTCGCCGCGGACGCTTCGTTTACCGAAAGGGAGGCAGCAGCCCGAAGTGGACGCACGACATGTTCCAGGGAGGAGAAGAGCGCGACATGGGAGACGACGGAATAGAAGTAGACCACAAAGACGTGAAGAGCGGCGGGGACGCCCCCGGCCCGAAGCAGTGACCTGCTCCGCTCCATCCTCCACTTTTTATCAGTGTCAGAGTCGTGATGAAGGGGTTGTTTTTCTTTGTTCCTCCCCTCGAGGTCATCTCATGGTTTAACTGTTAAAATGTGTTTAGTTTGAGTGGAAACTTGTTACTGACTTGGATGAAAAGCTCTTTTCATGTCGCTTGTCTCCAGACACGAACCAGACCCAAGTTTCCGGACATTTTCCGGAGTTTGCCTTTCACTCGTGAAGAACGCAAAAAGCGAACAGAGGAATGTTCAGAGCAGCTGACTCGGACATTTGCGTTCTCCCTGTGAACTTCGAGGAAAATGTCCGGACTTCATTGCGCGTCTGAAAGCAGCTTCTGTAAGATGAGTGGGGTTTTTTTTACGTAACGGGGAGTTTGATCGCTTTCGTTTCGCAGCCGTGTCTTTGTAATAGAGCGATTACTGAGGCAGCCAAGTTTAGAGATGGATATTTAATAAGAAAAGCATTTGTGCCTTAGAAAATAAAAATACTGTGCTTATGTGATCTGTACAGGAAGGCATTCTGTTAGTTTTTTTTTTTCTTCCTTTGGGGCCGTGATAAATCTTTGACGTGACTGCATGGTGTGTTTGATTCGTGCCTCGCTCCATGGGACCAATCAGTGGTGGGAACCTGACCCGTGATTTGTCATCGACACATGATCATAAAAAGTTTCTCTTGTTAAACCCCTGGACGGTGGATGTTCGTCACTATCTGAGCTGTTTCACTTCACCGCGATTCTCTCATTAGCAGGTGAAAATGTTTTATATGTGTTCTGCATTATATTCTCATGAAAACGAATCCGTTCAAAAGAATTGGCACAAAAAGAAATCTTCTGATTCGCTTTAGACGCGTTAGGTTTTCCTGCCTCTGTCATATCAGTGTAGGTGAGTGGCTACGTTTGTTTAGACTTTTAATAAAAAGGAAATAGTACGTGTATAGAATTATACGACATAAGTTATTCTAATTGTAACGTCTGGGGGAGGGACAACTACTTTTTTCTTTAAATGCAAACTGCAGAAATTCTCTGGTAACAAAGACCTGCGGTTTAAACTTTGTGCTGAACCTGAATACGTGAAGAGAAACCTGAAAATCTGTGACGAGACATTTTTTCAAGTCGTAAAAAATGAACCTGTTCATTCGAAGCGTTGACACAAGCTAGAAGTAGTTTTGTGAATCCCACCTCTTCGTCTCACTTTTGACTGTACATAGTGCATGTACTAAAACACAACTGTAGGACTGTATTTGTTTTTGTTCAATCAGAAGTTCAAGGCTTTTTTTTTTTTTTTTTTTTTTACTCTAGGTTCACTACATGAGGTTTCATATGATTTAAAGTTTCATGTTTGACTTCTGCTCTTGAAACAAAATGATTACGGACCGACAGAC